ATGACTAAATGTTAGGATTAATTTTAATTAAAACATTTATTTATATTAATATTTAAAAATGATTATCAAATAACGATAACGCTGTTTTTATTTATTAGTCCGTTTTATTATATTCTAAAATTTAGTTGTGTAATTGTAATACATCAAATATTATTAATAATAAATATTTATTTCCTGTATTTGGTAAATATTAGTCTAAAATATTGTCGTCAATAATTAGTGAATCTGAGTTTAATCCGTATTGATTAATAATATTTAATAAGAATAATAATGGTTGTTTCAACAATCATCTCAAAATTACACTTTTTTTTTTTTCTCTCGTTTGTTTTATTTTTGATAATAATTGATGTATTAATACTTTAACAACTAAGCTTTTTAAGATTTATAAAATTGAGTTGTAAATATTTGCATGTTCTCCTGCAGCCGGAGGAAGACCGACCTCCTCTCAGCTCCCTGAGACCGTCGGTGGCCTCCTCCACAGACATGCTCCACAGCAAACTGTCCCAGCTGAAGGAGTCCCGCGAGCACTTCCAGCAGGAGCAGTCCCACTCCCACAGCCCCACCCGCTCCTCCTCCCCCGCCTCCAACCTCGATGACCTCAAAAAGAGGCTGGAGAGGATAAAGAGCAACCGTCAGTAGATCAGCGCCTCGCCTTCATATGCTAACGCACTAGATAGTCAGCCGACTTCCCCAAACTCCACCATCCCAACGTTTTTCAGGGTAAATGCGTACATAGATTACAATAATGCGAAATAGGATGAAGAAATCTAAATAACTCGGTCTGTCTACATTGTATAATATTAAGTAAACATTTTCTGTAAGTATTGTGCACAGTTGTTTTTGTACATACAGTGGCTAACCACACTAGGCTTATACGTGTCCTTTAGGGTTTTCCGTGTACAGTTTTCCTGTGCAGAATGCTGTAATGTGTAACTGACGCTTGTTTTGTTTTTTTTATAGACATTTTAGAGAAATCTAAATGAATGTCGCTTTCACTTGGTCTCAACTTCTATCTGTTCAAAACTTTTTGCCGTTTTCTTTCTCATTCTTCCAAGCATCTCTGAAGCTCATAACTTTTAAAGGATTGATTCCTTTCTTTTAAGGAGCATGGCATGAAGTACCGGATCTTTCTTTATGTAAATAAAGTTTGCATTACTAAAGGCTGTTAATTCCATTTTTCTTTTAATAACGTTCCCAACATTTTGCATTCTGTAGTGGAATGTTGGTTATTGATGCATTTTGTATTATCCAACTGGGATTAATGTTGAAGTGTTGCTATTAAGTTTAAGTGTATAATCTATAGTAAAAATGTCAATAAAGGTTGTTGTTTTTTTTTTATATATA